AAGGCAACCCAAGATACTTCCCAAAGTCCTCCGCTTCAACCACCCCAAAAAAACTTGTGAGCCAGTTGCGGGCTTGAAAATGAGTATTCTTGCTGAAACAAATACTGGATTTATGAAAATTAACAACCTGGCCAGAGAGACGTTCATACTCAGAAAGTATCCGAAGCACCTCCCCTGCTTCCTCCATTGTGGCTTTGAAAAGAATTAGGCTATCATCGGCAAAGAGAAGGTGATTGATGGGAGGAGCACCACATGACACTCGAATACCATGCATTGTTCCCCTCTGTTCCGCCTCCTGGAAGAGAAAGGATAGCCCTTCAGCACATAAAATAAAGAGATAGGGGCTTAATGGATCCCCCTGTCGAAGACCCCTAGAGGGAATAATGAAGTCTGTAAAGTCACCATTGACCTGCACTCTATATCTGACAGTAGTGACACACATCATGATGAGTTCGATCCATTGATTATCGAACCCCAGTTTGACCATCATAAGTTTTAAGAAGCTCCATTCCATTCTGTCATAAGCTTTGGCCATATCAAGTTTGAGACCAACCCATCCTGTAGCTCCTCTTCGTTTTCGTCGAAGGAAGTGGCCCAATTCAGCTGCCAAGAGAATGTTGTCCGAAATTAGTCTCCCTGGAAGAAAGGCAGACTGGGAGTCAGAGATGATATCCTGAAGTACTGTTTTCAGCCTCTTAGCCAAAACTTTTGCAACAATCTTGTAAATGACATTACAGAGGGCAATGGGACGCAAGTCAGACACAGATTCTGGAGACTGCTTCTTAAGAATAAGAACAATATTGGCATCATTTATATTACCTGGGAGGAATTTACCATTGAGACAAGATAAGACAAACTTGCAAACATCCGGGCCTACAAGGTTCCATGATCTCTGAAAGAAAGCAGGGTTCATACCATCTGGACCAGGAGACTTATCCGGGTGCATGGCAAAAAGAGCAGCACGCACTTCCTCATCAGTGAAAGGCTGAACAAGGGAGTCATTTTGGGCTCGGGAAACCCTCGTCCGAAAACCATCAAAAGCAGTAGAGGGACCAATACCTGCAGTTTGGAAAATGTTTTTAAAATAGTGAGAGACCACTTGCAGAAGCTGATCACCTTCTTTCCACTGTCCATGCTCATCCTTAAGCCTCATAATCCTGTTTTTCTTCTTTCGGTGTGAAGCATATCGGTGAAAAAACGTGTATTAGCGTCCGCCGTACGTAGCCAGTGTTGCTTCGCCTGTTGCCTCCAAATTAGGGATCCTTCACATCAGAAACTTATAGTTATAAAATTAAAATTAGATAATTAAAGGAAGAAGTTTCCTCATAATAAAAAAAACATTTTTTTTATAAATTAAAAACAAAGAGTAGATTTAATACGGAGTATTTAAGATTGAAAAATAAAATTTAATTTTATCTTTTAAACTATTCTTGAAAGATAATATGTAATTAAAAAAACTATGAAAATCAAGATATGATGAACTTACCTTCCTGCTACTCTTGAATTTTTGATAGAAATATATAATCTCACTTTTATAATTTTTCTTTCAGCCTTTGCTCTGTAAGCTATCTTATTTTTCTGGTTTGGAAACTAAAGATGATATAGCTAGGATAAATCCTAATGAATAGTATTCAATGTATGTAAGAGGAGAGAGTATATAAATCGGATGGTGAAAAAAAATAAAGGCAAATAATATAAGGATAATATCAAGTACATATAATAGGACTACCCAGCAACTCCATGTTTAATAAAGAATCTTTTTCGTCCTATTATGAATGTATCATTCACCTGCATTTACTTCATGACACATCATATACTCTATCTTTTTATTTATAAATAATAACAATAAAATAAATTACTAATTTATTTGTTTGTTTTCTAGTATATAGAATTTTTAAGATTCCATTTTAATGTGATCATGCCATGGGATTTTTTTAGTGTACGTACTTTTAGGATACTCCATAATTATTACAAAACATGTTTTTGTTTTGATTCTTTGATTTTTATTCTATAGTACGAAGTAATATTTAATTAAAAAAATTAATCGGTAATAAATTTAAATTCATTGTTTTGTACAGAGTATTTTTTTTTAAAGACATGGAGTAAACTTTCAAAACATGAAGCTCTATTAGTTTACTCCTTATTATTTACTCCTAGACAGCAAGTTTCTTTTTACTCCTTATTATATATAAAAAAAACTTGAAGCTTTATTTTTTTTTACAAAGAAATAAAATATAATAAGCTAACAAATTTAATTTATCTTGTAGTTTATTCCATGGCCAACATCACCAAAAGAGAATTTCACATTCTTGATTTATCCGGTCAAAAGTATATGGAATGGAGGGTTGATGCACTTGCTCACCTTAAGGATAATGGCCTCGAAAATACAATTGCTGAGAATAATACATCATCATCTCAGCAAAAGGCAAAAGCCATAATTTTCCTTCGCCACCATCTTCATGAAAGTTTAAAATCTGAATATCTATTGGTGGAAGATCCGAAGGAATTATGGGTTAATCTCCAAGAAAGATATGGACATCAACAAAAAGTCCTATTGCCAAGAGCTCAATATGAATGGATCAATTTAAGATTCCAAGATTTTAAGTCTGTTTGTGACTATAATTCTGCTATTTTCAAAGTCACATCCACATTAAAATTATGTGGACATAATATCACAGATCATGATATGTTGGAAAAAACTTTTTCCACCATGCATATGTCAAATGTGATATTGCAGCAACAATANGTGCTTTCCAAATTGCCCAGCAAGTCAAAGCGACGGTACGCAGCTCCAATAAAGTGTCATTCTGACACCGAACTTGGAACCAGTTTTGGAAAGAGATAAAATAGATTCTATTACCTCCTTTGCCCATGAGCCTCCAAACCGAATCTGCAAAAGGACAAAACAAAAAAATATGATCAACTGTTTCGAGAGCTCCTCCACAGAGAGGGCAGCCCCCATCCACCTCCACTCTCATAGAAATGAGAGCATCCCGCGTGGGCAAGATTCCTCGAATGGCCCTCCACAAGCAAACAAGAACTTTCGGGGCCACCAGAATCCGCCAAAATCTTCCCCAGTTTGAAAAAGAGGACACGACAGAAGCATCTCCAATCAAACATCTGTAAGCACTTTTCACCGTATAAGCCCCACGAAAGTCCCTAATCCAGAACCATCCATCGGAACTTCTAGTATTAACAGGAACCCTGCGAATTTGCAGCACTTCACCAGCGTCAAAGTATTATTCCAGCTTTGCTACATTCCAAGAATTTAAATCAGAGTCAATAAAATCAGCCACTAAGGGGTCTTCATTCTCCACGCGTCTGGCCATGCTTGGATAAGGATTAACTTCTTCAATGAGCCAGGGAGTACCCCAAAGATGTGTCTCTCGTCCATCGCCAATACGACGTCGAATACCGCTTCGAAGAATTTCTTGGGCTGAAAGAATACTTTTCCAACAGTAGCTGGGCTGTCTCCCCAATTCGGCCTCCAAAAACGAGTTGTTAGGAAAGTATCGGGCCTTGAAAACTCTTGCCACTAGCGAGCTGGGTTTGGTCAGAAAGCGCCAGCCTTGTTTACCCAACATAGAACCATTGAACATCCGAATACTCCGAAAGCCCAATCCCCCAAACTTCGTTGGGATAGTCATTCGTTCCCACGACATCCAACGAATGCCACGATTGTTAGTTCCCTTACCGTCCCACCAAAAGCCATTCATTAACCTCTCAATATCAATGCAAGTAGATTAGGGGAGAAGGAAAACACTCATGGCAATTTGGGGCATCGACTGTGCAATCGTCTTGAGTAAAACCTCCTTACCTGCCTTAGAAAGCGTCTTCCTCTTCCATAGTGAAAGTCTTTGACGGATCTTCTCCAAAATATATTAAAAAACAGCTGTTTTATTGCGCCCAATGAAAGAAGGCAACCCAAGATACTTCCCAAAGTCCTCCGCTTCAACCACCCCAAAAAAACTTGTGAGCCAGTTGCGGGCTTGAAAATGAGTATTCTTGCTGAAACAAATACTGGATTTATGAAAATTAACAACCTGGCCAGAGAGACGTTCATACTCAGAAAGTATCCGAAGCACCTCCCCTGCTTCCTCCATTGTGGCTTTGAAAAGAATTAGGCTATCATCGGCAAAGAGAAGGTGATTGATGGGAGGAGCACCACATGACACTCGAATACCATGCATTGTTCCCCTCTGTTCCGCCTCTTGGAAGAGAAAGGATAGCCCTTCAGCACATAAAATAAAGAGATAGGGGCTTAATGGATCCCCCTGTCGAAGACCCCTAGAGGGAATAATGAAGTCTGTAAAGTCACCATTGACCTGCACTCTATATCTGACAGTAGTGACACACATCATGATGAGTTCGATCCATTGATTATCGAACCCCAGTTTGACCATCATAAGTTTTAAGAAGCTCCATTCCATTCTGTCATAAGCTTTGGCCATATCAAGTTTGAGACCAACCCATCCTGTAGCTCCTCTTCGTTTTCGTCGAAGGAAGTGGCCCAATTCAGCTGCCAAGAGAATGTTGTCCGAAATTAGTCTCCCTGGAAGAAAGG